AATTTCCCAGTGTCTGTCACAAAATGGGTGTTCAATAAATACTTGTTTATTGATCACATTAGAAACAAATGTTTAATCAGAAATAAAGTTGTAAATTATAAATACATCATATATATGGTACATAAAATCATCTATATATAATATAATATACTTATTGTATTTCTACATTTCATGTGGATACATATATATGATATATAAGTACTTTATATTACAAATCTTGTTAAGAATCCTTAATATTCTGAGGCATAGATAGAACCTATTTTTAATAAGCTATAAGCATTTGAAATTTTTTTGTTAAATGGAGAATATTACATTTTATAAAAATAATAAAGTTCTGACCTAAGGATTCAGTATTACCTAAAAAATAATAGTTTTCATTTTTTTAATTATTTCTATTAGCCTTTTTAAAATTGTGATGTTACATTTCTTATTCTGTGGCATTAAGTCTAATAATGGAGCTTTCCTTAATAGAGTTTGCCCTCATTCTTTAGTTTGGAAATTGAGGTTTTTGTTCTCTTCTTTGAATGACTTCATTAATGTGCAGGAATGTACCCAAGACTTCTACCTCTGCATTCTCAGATTTTCCAGGCTGTCAGATTGATAAGAGGGTACAATTCACTAACTTGACCAGAGTTGAATTGTAAACTATTTCAAAAGCTAGTAATGGCATTTGGGTATGGTTGATTAAGGTGACTAATTCAGAGGATTCTTTAACTCAAATGATTAATTATAGATTATTAAGGACATTTAGAGAAAGAAAAACTGTATTTTAACCTTAGCCATCATTCTTTATGTTATTGATACCATATTGGCTGAAGCCTTTTCTATTTTTGTGTTTTATCAGTAATTGTTAGCTGTTTTGTGTACTAGGTGAAAATTTTTAAATGGAATAATTTCCTAATTACCAGCTTGTTTTTTAAAAAAAATTTGGTCTCAGTACAGAAGCCTTTCATACACAGTGAAAGTAAGGTAACAAAGTTTTAAGTCATCTTTATTAGCCATTAGTATAATAAATTTATTTTCAAATGAATTTCAAATGAAATGACATTTTTTAATGAAATAAATAGACTCTAAAAATTGAGTGGTCTTATATAATCCTAACTTATAATGAATTCCAAAGCGAGTGTTGACTTCTACCATTGTAATTTATTTTCTGGATTCCTTTTCTCAGGGTGCATTTGAGAAGATCTTTTCTCTTTGGCCATTGTCCAAGTGTTTTGAACTGAAAGGGAATGTCTATGAATGGTGGTTCAGATGGAGGTTAGACCGTTACGTATGTATTTACCTTGTGCTCTTTTTCCATTTCAAATTATACTTTTTAAAAATTATTTGGAAAATTTTAATATATTATTTAGGTTTAGAATAAGGAAACATGTTGATTTGGTAAATCAGAGTAGTCCTTCCTACTTGTTCTACAGCAGAGAAAGGGTATGAATGTGTATGTAAATCAGCAGAAAAATACTATAAAAGTGTTGACTATAAAATGGCCTTTGTTTGAGTCATAATTTTGATGTAGGTGATCCTTCATATACATACTTCAGCCATTCAGCACAAAACTTAGGGAGCCCCAATATATGCCCCAGTGTTGGTATTATGAGGAATATATTAAAGAAAGACGGCATGCCTCCAGGCCTCTAAGCCTTACCATCTAGTTTCAAACTCAAGTTTACTACTTATTATTGGGTGCTAAACTGTACAGTATGAGTTTTGAGGTAGAAGTATGCAAAGAAGAGAGAGCAGTGTCATGGACGATTCCATGGATGATTCCATGAGTTTAATCTCAAAGGATGGTTAAGATTCAGTTGGCCAACATAATATAAAATATCTAGCACAGCGTTTAGAAAATAATAGACACTGAATAAATATTAATT